TAATTTTGTGTCAAATTGCGTCCAGACCTTACGAGTCGAGAGCGAGAATAAAAACGAGACATCTTCTATCCATTTTTTAAGTCAAGCCTGCCAGCGCGACAAGCGTGTTGGATCATAGTGAAAGTAAGCCAACAAGGGAACAAAATGTTAAATAGAAAAGTTATAGGGAAGGTTAAGAAGCACATTTTAAAATTACTGCAGAGTATACAAGGTTGTGTAATACCCTATTTTTTATTTTATTATTAGATTCTACGTACAATTCAGTAACTTTTTTGCATATGATATTATATATCTAAAATTAATAGATTTTGTAATAATTCAATTTGTTTAAAGAAATCTTATATTTCGGTACGGTAAAATTTATCAGTGACGCAAAATTTGTAAATTCTATCGGAAAAAATAATAATACATATGGTGTACCATTTAAAGAATTAGATTTAAATTTAATTTTAAATAAAATTTGCATATATTTATATTTGCCTTGTATACCGAACGGCTCTAGCATGGCAAGCTGAACCTTGCTACTCCCAAGGCGTTAAAGGCTATATATATATTTATTTTATTTCGTATATATTTTTCCTTTTATTGATTTTATGGAAAGCATTGTTCATGAAAATGTTGTATCCTATGTTATAGGGCTTGTTTCTCTCTACAATTTCCTGTCTCACAATGTACCGTTTTTGTCCGGAAAGGGTCCATAGTTTCATAGTTGTCGGTTTTCGAAAGAAATCTGTACATTTATTTTATTTAGTATATTTTTCATTTTATTAATTTTATTGAAAGCACTGTTCATTAAATATTATATAAATGAAGCTATTATTATATTAAATAAAATTTGCAAATTTGGAATGTCTCGCGTTCGTCTCGTCAGGTCTGGACGCACCTTTATACGGAAAATTGTTCAATTTTAAATTGAAATACTGTTATAAAGAAAAAAATTATGTAATTTTATTAAAACAAAATAAAGTGGGGTAAATCAGGTAGCATAAACAAGTAGAGGTAATAAGTAAAAAGAGGTAAATGAGTTTTTTATATAATTAATTTGAATAAACCAAACTAGCGTTAAAAGCTGTTTAAGAATAAAGATAATTATTTTTCATTTACGTTACGCTAATGCGTTTTGGTGTGCCAGTCATTTGGTTTTATTAAAAGCTTTTCCTTTGCTAGCAACCGGTGGCTGGTTAGAATGGTTTGAGATTTCCATTAAGGGGGGGGGCCATTAGCCCTCAAGATCATATTAAAAAAAACGCTCTAAAAAGTATTTTTTTTTTATTTTTGCGATATCATATATTATTGAAGAACTAGTATTCCAGTATTTTATTAATAGTTGGTATCTATTACAAATACATATGTGGTATTCAAAAATTTTACATTAAAAAAAATTGTTTGCACGACTTTAACAAAAAAAAAATGTGTGTGCACTATGTGCGCATATTTAAAGTGAAACGTCTTACTAACAGCTATTTAATTGAAGGATTTCAAGGACATGTTTGAAGAAGTGACATATACTAATAATGCCGTTTTAATATAAATATTATTTTTAGTTTATTTCTGTAATCTGTACATTTTCTCTTTCCTCAATAGCCTGCAAGTTTTGTGGAATATCACCCAAAATACACACTTTTATGCAAATGCCAAAGAATGTTAAAGCCTCTTTAAGTTTAAAAGAAGACATGTTAAGACCAGCCAATAATTCTTGTAGTCTGATTTTGTTTACATGTTTTGTTCAATATTTATAGTGGTTTACAGTAATTTTTATTAAAAAATTTCTAGCACACCATCAGAAGATATTGGTACATAGGTACAAGTTTATTATAATGATTTTCTTAGCTTTAAATCGATTGTTTTTTGTTGCGCGATCTTACCATTTTTCGTCTCGCTAGCTCGTGTATCACGACCGTGAATTTTAACTCCCTTTGCGTTTCACTTCAAAAATCTACTTAATCCTAATTTCAATTATTTACATCTATCATCTTATTTATGACGATTCTTCTTCTTCTCCTTAAGTCGTCTTCTCCTCACGAAGGTTGGCAATCGACATAGCCCATTGGCGTAATTAGAGGGGGGCACGGGGGTGCCGCCCCCCCATGTACTGCTGGGCCCCCCAGAGAAATCCCGAATTATGACTCTTGGCTAGGTATTAATTTTTATTTGCTTGTGATATAGTAAAAATTACGTTTTTTGTTTAGTTAATATTATTTTATTGTGTTCAAAAAATGTATTAATTTTTATTTTTTAGAAAATTTGTAGGTAGTTAAGTAATCTACGGCAACACGGTTTGATAACCAAGTCTCTGAAATTTATTGATAATTCATGTAAAATATTATTAAAAAAATGTGTTTTTTAAAATTATTTTTTATTAAAAAAACAAAAGCCCTAGGCCCCCCCTGGGCTCAACCCCAGGCCCCCCCTTGGGCCCACCCCAGTATAAATTGCTAGTTACACTAATTGCACATAGCTAACATGGTTCTGGATAATGCAACATTTTCTGAGGAGGTTTATTGGCGTTTGCCGTTATATCTTTCCTCAGAATAATATAAATATGGGATATACCGTATGATCGAAGAAAGAAACGGCGTCTAGTTCGCTAAATTTACATATAAAATGACAGCGATCTTCATTTCATAGCTATCGCTAACGCCGATTTTTAATTACCTTACATTATTTTTAATTACCTTACAACCCGACTAAGCTGGTTAGGTAATATAGATCAAAGCAGTTCCCAGTGAGGCACTGTATTTTGTATACTAAACGTATTATCTCTTCTTTTACTTATTACTCTTTAATATACAGGGTAAGTCTTAAATAAATGCAAATATTTTCAGGGCTGGTAGATCTCAATAAAAGAAACATATTTTCCCTTTACCGTTTTTCAAATAAGGGTGTATTCCGGTGCTTACCTTGGTTATGGTTTTATGTTCCGTTTCTATCGGTTTCCTGAAAGTTTTCTTATTACGGAACACGGTTCCTGAAAAATTCGATTGTAACTGTCACCAAATTAACCAGCGAGAGAAGGCTGGTTTTTCTGGTTTTGTTTGTCAATCAATGTCATTTATGTGACAGAAATCAAGCAAATATTGGAAGTTCTAGTGAAATTATTATTTAGTTTCTAAAATTTGTAATAATATTTTGTATTTACATCCCAAAGCAATGGAGGTAGGCAGTAAAGGTAAATAAATTTTATTAACTAAATAGAATTACTTTTTAGGACCATTTAAACTTATCATGCAGCCATTGTTTCTTAAAGTCAGGAACATTTAAAGAGAACATGAAAAACAAGACAATAAGTAATCATGAATATTTTGTAAGCTGTAAAAATATAAAAAATATTGATTAGATTTGTTTTTCCAAAAAAATACTGTATGGGTGTTTCGCCACTGCACTGCAAGAAAATCTACAAAATAAAATAATTATTTTTTGTAAACATTTCTGCGTTAAACCTAAACGGACGCTGCTTGTCAGAAGTTATGTTTACGGTAATACAAATTTGCCTAACAAAGCAAAAAATATTTTTTAACGTTAAGTATATATGCTTAACGTTTCGGAAAGTATACTTTCCGTCGTCGGAAGCAAAAAAATACAAAGAATTAAGAAATAAAAAACTATTTAAAATATTTAAATTCAACTATTCGAGAACACTTCACTTTTTTAAAACAGATACGTCTACAAGAAACCGTTGACGTTTTGTTAAAATGACATTTTTTACTTAATATTTAAACTTCAAAATTAACAATTACTACCTGATAACAATTACTTAATAAGGTAAAACCAAAAAGCCCCTAACTTTCTGTATGATTATTTTTAAATTTTACGTATGTTATGTTTATTTATCTTGTTGTATCTATTGTTCTTTAAAATTAAAGCAGCGATTGCCATACATTACTAACATCTACAGATGCATGAGCAATACATTTATTTTTATTAGATTGAATTAAAAAAGCCTCTTTTATTTTTCTTTTAGAGGCTATCGTTTCTTTCATTATAATTTTGGCGTTATTAAAATTTATTCTGTGCCCTGTGTCCCAAGAATACTGACAAATCTTAGATTTGTGAAAATCTCCCTTTCTTAAATAACCTTTATGTTCTTTAATTCTAACATTTAAGGGTCTAGATGTTTCACCAATGTAAAATTTATCGCATTCACAGGGTATTTGGTGTATTACATTTTTTGTTTGTTGTTCTGTATTGATTGGTTTAGTATGTGATAAAATGGATCTAAGTGTATTTTGTGTTTTGAAAGATGTTCGTATGTTATATTGTTTTCCTATCCTTATCTTTACTTGAGCTGTCTAACGGGTTTAACAGTTTATTAATAAAGTACTTTTCAATATTAAACTTCATTGAAAAGAAGAAGCAAACGTAAAAGCAGAGAATAGGTACATTAAAAATGCATAAAAGATAAATTTTATAAAATTTATCTCTATTATAATAGAGGTATTGAAATTTAGAAAACGTCAACATTTGACGTTTCCAGTATTTTACCAAACCGTACCGTATCAAACCGATGTTTTTTCAGGAACCGCTCTTTACCGTAGTTTACCAGTCTGGTTCGCCTGGTTTTGCAACGAAATACAGCCTAAGTCCAAGATAACCAAGTTATTTTACTTTGAAAATTCCCAAAAAAAATTTTTCCTTAAATTTGGAAAGCCACTAGATTTTTTCTCGGTTTTCTTTCTCATAAATTTAATCTACTACCTATGTTATCATACTGTCAAGAAATTATGTTTTTTAACTATAAAAACTAAAAAAAATTAGAAAATTCCAAATTTTCAAATATTATTTTAGCGAAAAAAACCTCATAACCGTGTTTCTGGGATCGAAATATATTACCCCTAGAGTATTTAACTTATATAAGACTCACCCTTACAAATAAAATACAAAATATGCTCTTCTAGTTTAGATATCCCTATAGTTTAGATATCCCCATTCTTATATCGTGTAAGAAAAGCATTTTTATTTAATTTATCATATAATACTCAAAGTGGGTAGCCTTGACTTACCTTGTTGTCCTTTTGCCACGAGCACGAGCCCCTTTTATTAAATACTTTGCATACTAGTAGGGCGTCCTGACCAGGATTGACTTCTGTGTAGGAGGGCTGCTGTTCGAATCGCTGAACGGCAAGAATTCCTGCAAAGCCAATAAGGAAATACTGTTTTAGTCAAGTATTAAATTTCGAAGTCCGACGAAAGCTACAAAGGCAAATAATTTCTTTGAATATGTACGATTATGCATAATTTATAGATTCCTTTATGCATATTTTTCACAATTCTATAGGGATCTTAAGTATTTTAATACAAGGTTAAAATATGATTTCAAATCTTCAAAAAAGTCATATGGGTATTTCGCCAGTTTAAGAAAATCTACAAAATAAAATAATTATTGTTAACGCTGCTGCGTTAATCCAAATTTACCTAACGGACAAAAATGCTTAACGTTTAGGTAACTATAGGTCTGTTCCCAGAAGAATCCCTGACTAGTCAACGCGTTTCTTATTGGTTGAAATGCGTAGAAACCTGACTAACAATCAGGTTTCGACGCATTTTAACCAATGAGAAACGTGCTTACTAGTCAGGGATTCTTCCGGGAACAGACCTTATATCTCTTCCCGTCGTCGTCGTCGGAAGCAGAAAAAAAGCACAAAGAACAAAAAAACCTATATTAAATATTTAAATGCGAGTATTTGAGAACACTTTAGTTTTTTCCAAACGGATACGTCTATAAAAACCGTTGATGTTCTGTGAAAATTAATGGTGCAAGTACACACTCGCCGAGGCGACCCGAGGCCGAGACGAGGCGAGTGTGTACTTGGGGCTCTCGCCTGTTCTCGGGCCCTCTCGCCTCACACTCTGAACGTTTTGTACCAAGTACAAGCTCGTCGAGGGGACCCGAGGCGAGACAAGGCGAGTGTGTACTTGGGGCTCTCGTCTTGCTTTGGTGCCTCTCGCCTCGTCTTGGGAGCGCTCGGTCTAGAGGCGGTCTCAAGCACGAGTCAAAGGAGACGAGAGCCACAGAGAAACTAAATAAAAGAGAGACACAATAGATGCTATGTTTCTCTATAGCAAAAGCGTTAAGTAGGAGGTCCCGCGAAAATATACACGGTGCTCTCGGGAGATCTCGGCATTCCTTAGTTCGTCTTCTCAACTGCCTTTGAGTTGACCTATTTTCGGTATTTAAATTATTAAAATATAAATATATAATTAATACAGTGGATAAACGATTTTAGCCAAAGTACCGAAAAATCTGTTAAGAGAACTGTAGAAAAAAAAGATTCTTTAATGGTCACTTTCCGGGTCGTTTAAGAAAGAAAAACACGTCTATTAAAATCTATGCACGAGGTTTTCATTCAGTTTGATGGAAAGTCTTCAAATTCAAATATATGACTGCCAACTTAATATAAACATTCATTAGTTTCTATAAGTATCTACGTTGATTTAATAATAGAGAAGCGATTAAACAAAACGAATCCATTTTGAGACAGTAGCAAAAAACATGTCGTTATTGCGTCTTTTAAACAAAGAAAATTATAATGTACATGAAAGATATTATGATACATACTTTCTAAACACTGTTTTCGCTTTTTTGTCATCATTAACATAAGAATTATTACTCTAATTACAAAATTATTGATTAATCTCTTTTATCCTCAGTTAAAAATAAAGATTTATTTTTTATAATGTAAAATAGCAAATATTTTACCTTTTTATGCAGCATTATGTTATTTTTTAAATTTAATACACCTCACCTCGGCAACATAAAGTCGAAAATACAGTTTGTTTCGATCCTTGGCAGTTACGTCATCATTTTCGACGTTATATTAGTTTTCATCATTTTTTTCATGACAAACACAAACAAGAGAATGATAATCTGTGACGTAACAGCCAAGGATCAAAAAACAAAGCGTAGATGATTATGCTTCTATAAAATACCAAAAAAGCAAAAATAATCAGAGGCGGAATTATCTTTTTCTGTTTGAAACTAATAATATGCAATTTGATTTTGTGGATTTCACTGTTTTTTTATATTTTCTCGACTTTCAGATCGGTTTTAAATAGGATTTAAGAAAAATTTTTGCCGAAATTATCCCAAAAGTGTTATTAAATTTATCTCGTTGAGCGCCTGATTGTTTTTATTTTTACAAAATTATTCTTCAGAATATGTAGTGCAATATTTTATTGGTGTGTTTTTGCGCAATGTCTCCGGGCGCCTCGCTGGACCTCGCATTTTTTGTGGTGCCTCGGGTCCCCTCGGCGAGTGTGTACTTCCAGCATGACAATTACTACCTGATAACAATTACTACCTGATAACAATTACTTAATAAGGTAAAACCGAAAATCTTCAACTTTCTGTATGACTATTTTTTAATTTGTTTTTATTTTTACTTTTGTTATGCTTATTTATGTTATGTTCTTTAAAATCAAAGAAGTCATTGCCATACATTACTAACCTATACAGATGCATGAGCAATACATTTATTTTTATTAGATTGTCTTAAAAAAACCCTCTTTTATTTTTCTTTTAGAGGCTATCGCTTCTTTCATTATAATTTTTGCGTTATTAAAATCTACTCTGTGCCCGGTGTCCCATTAATGGTGACAAATCTTAGATTTATGAAAATCCCCTTTCTTAAATAATATTTATGTCCTTTAATTCAAACATTTAATCATCAATTGTAAGTTGTATACAGGGTTGTTCACCACATACGACACGGAGTATTGTAGCTAAACGATGAGATTTTTACAAATTGTAGGTTTTGGGTTCGATGAAGGACTATTAGAGGTACAATTTAAAAATAATTTTACAAGATACAGAGTGTCCCAAATAAGTAAAAAATATCAAAGTTGTACTTTTTTAAATGGAACACCAAGTATATTATTACATTTTTAGTTTCTACGATTAAAATAAAGGTAAATTTGATTAAGGTTTATTATACTTAAACCTTACCGTTTTTGAAATATTTTCAATTTTGTGAAATTGCAGTAAAAATTTTAAGGCTTCATTTCTCCAAGGGTATCAAAGTTTTTAATACTAAATATTAACTGAAGTTTATTTACTGATCAGTTATTGTGTTGCAATAATAAAAATAATACTACCTTATACAGAGTGTCTAAAAATTTATTTTAAATAATTATTAGCTTCAAACGGCAATAACTTGTTTAATTTAAATGGAACAGCCTGTATATTTTACGAGAATCAGATGCACAATTTAATTGTCTATCAAATTATATTATACCATTTTTTACCTATCTCTTTAAGTTTCCGTAGAAAATGCATTTTCTTGTAATTTAGAACTTATTTATCAATATACCCATGGACTATTGACATTTTAGATTATTTTTAAAGATGTACCAAATTTTTAAAGAGTACAGATACTAATATTGTCGATATAATTCGTTTATTTCGTTAAAAAATAAAAAAAAACTGTTTAAATATTTGTTAAAGAGGATCAATTAATATGATTCCAGTATTCAAACTACATTAACTGACTGTTTGCGTTGATTAATAATAATTGCTCCAAATACTAAAAAACTGAATTTTGTATGGGCATTAGACAGTGTGATAAAAAGTAACACCTTAAAAATGATATTTCATTTTTTAATAAATGCTTATTTATAACAACTATACAAATAAGAGACTTTAATTTGATAACTTATTATTATATTGATTTCTGACTCAAATCCACATTTATTTATAATAATTTATTAATGAACACAATTAAGTATGTAATTAATTAGTATATGGGCGGAAATAATGGTGTTATATTTAATTAATGGTATACTCTTTTATAAAGATTTAAATAGTTTTCTTTTTGCATACAAATGGGCTAGTAATATTATCGTTTTGCTAAAAACGATAATATTACTCGTCTGTACATTTTGTACATTTGTTGCTTTAAAAACAATCTAAAATGTCAATATTCCATGAATATATTGATAAATTAGGTCTAAATTATAAGAAAATGCATTTTCTACGAAAACTTGAAGGGATAGGTAAAAAATGGTATAATACAATTTGATAGACAATTTAATTGTGCATCTGATTCTCCTAAAATATACAGGGCATTCCATTTAAATTAAAGAAGTTATTGCCGTTTGAAGCTAATAATTATTTAAAATAAATTTTAGACACCCCCTGTATAAGGTAGTATTATTTTTATTATTGCAACACAATAACTGATCAATAAATAAACTTCATTAAATATTTAGTATTAAAAACATTGATACCCTTGGAGAAATGAAGCTTTAAAATTTTTACTGCAATTTCACAAAATTGAAAATATTTCAAAAACGGTAAGGTTTAAGTATAGTAAACCTTAATCAAATTTACCTTTATTTTAATCGTAGAAACTAAAAATGTAATAATATACAGGGTGTTCTATTTAAAAAAATACAACTTTGATATTTTTTATTTATTTGGGACACTCTGTATCTTGTAAAAATATTTTTAAATTGTAGCTCTAATAGTCCTTCAACGAACGCCAAACTTACAATTTGTAAAAATCTCATCGTTTAGCTACAATACTCCGTGTCGTATGTGGTGAACAACCCTGTATATTCTGCATTGCTATCATTGTGTGTATTCTGTCTACGATTTGGTGTTTTTTAATATTTTGTCAATGAAATATGGTGGATAGTTGTTTTATATTAATGTATTTTTTATGTGGTTTATACTCGAACATATTATTTTTGCCCTATCAAATATTTTTTTTATAACACCTTTTTTACACTTATACTGTGATTTGATGTGAAATAATAAATAATTTGTGTTATAATTTAAAATATATGTACGGCCAAAGAAAATAATTATTGTAGTTGCGTCGTAGAATTGTCATTAGAATAATGTTTGTAATTATAAATTAAATTTATAACCACAAGTAAAGGAAGGTTATAAAACAAGCCAGTTAAAAGCTATATTTTGTGGCTGTTTGTTGAAAGTACAATGTATTTTATTTTTCATATTGAGGTAATATTTTAATGGAAAATACCTGTTACTCTGGATTGATATGTATATCAATTAATTAAAAAAACATGTTAACGTTATAAACTCAAACAAATATTTGTGTTTTGTGTGATATGTTTGTTGTATGTTTTATATCTATTGGCTTCTTTTTAATAATATTTGATAA